CTCAAGAAGGACTTCGGATATAGGCATCTCGTTCAACTTCATATGATTGATTATATCACTGGAGAAATATCTTTGTAGTGTGCAAAGAAAAGCATGAGAAAAAACGGATAAGCAAAAATTAATATAAACAAATCTTAAAATCGACAATGATGAAAAGAGTAACTCTGAAGTTAGAAGCTTAGATAAAACATTGCACCGCTCGAGATTGTTATCGACATGAGTTGAGCGTGATCGAGTTCTTTTTTTCATCATCAAAAACCGAATGTAATTTCGCATAAAAGAACTTACACAATTCCCTGAGTATTAGCTGAATTTGCGTACACCCGTGACAGGTGAGCATACGTTTCTTCGTTTGGGGTCATATCATCAGCTTCCCATGCTTTGAGCTCTTCAACAACATTCACACTTTCTTTATTGTCAATGCGAGCAGAAAGAACAGCATTTCGTGAAAGTAGCTGCAGAGGAACCCCTAAAAGTAGCATTAACGAAAGGCAAACTGTATAATTGATCTACAAAAGCATACCCCTCTGCGCTAGGGCTTGCAGCGCTTGGCTCATGAAGGCAGCTCTTCTCAAACAACTTACAGACTCGCATCCACTACCGAAGGTGGAAAGAAGTACAGCTAATTGGCGATCGGACAATGACGTAAGATCCTCTTTTGGATCGGCGAATAATTTAGCAACCTAGAAGTGCGAATTGCCGGATAAAGAACGATGCGCCATATATCTTACAAACCTTTTCAGGAGTTTGGCTGAAGATGACACCACGCCATTCGATGCTAAACAAACCGTTGAAGAGCTATGGGTTTGAAGTAAAGAAATAAGAGCAGCACTCACTGATCCACTATATCTTGGAGGGATTCTGCCTTATTGCTTTCTAGCTCCTCACGATGTTTACTTTGAAGACGTAATTGCTCTGTAGATACTAATGATGGGACCTTAAAGAGGCTATTACGTTTTCCAAACTCAAATACTAAGAAACATAAATATCATGTGAATAAATACAAGTTTTATAGAGACCTTTTTCATCCTATAACTCTTTGTATCCATTGGAGGAGGGACGCTCAGGCGCCCATTTGGTCGACGAGGAACGGCCGACACCAAGGTGCGAACATGCCGCATCCTGTGTAGACATAAAGAATAAAAAGAATAACTAATACCAACCAATAATAATAGCTGTCTGAACAATCATCGTTGAGATCGCAAAACTTTTCCGTTATACGATATTCTATCCAAATTATACATGTGATTAGAATAGATGA